TGACAAAGTGATATTTTGCCCTAGGGCATCGTATGAAAAATATGAACCCCGATATTTCCCCCTCTAGGGTAATAAATTAGAAAACCTAGGGTAACATTGTGCAAACACTTCAAATTAGGGTCATTAGGCCATGGCCCAAGACCTTTGATAAATAGAATGCTTCTCCATGAAGTATTTGTAATGGTGAAAACAGACAGTATCTGCTTCAGTAATATCCATCATGTCAGCACAAGCAAAAACCAAACAGCGTTCATTTTCTTCAAGACTCATAATAGTTAACAAATCTGTTCTTGTGAAAACAGATTTATGGCAATCTGTTTTGGTTAGCAAACCAATTGAACATCTCTCCAAAGCCATTTTATTTCATTTAACACAGCAAACTTAAAATGTTTAAGAATCAATTTATCTGCTTAACATCAACACTAATCTGCACTACAACAAATCATGCTTAATGCTTGGAAGATCTGCAAAAACAATAAAGATCACATATACTCTAGGGGGGCACAAATACATAAATCACTAATTGGCATCGTTATAAATGAAACCCCGTCATTAAAACTACTCATTTCGTTCTTTAATTAACTTAAATCGACCTTTTTGACAACAGCGCATAATCCCCCCCCCATCGAACGATATTTCAAGCAATCAAAGGGGCACGTCTACGTGACGTAATGTGAGGAATAGATATGTACATTTCAGGGGGTAAGTTAACTTTTTTACAGGTTTGTATAAACCTGAAATCGTGACAATTGTTGTGAAAAATGAAAGCTATATATTCTCACAATCTACTGTCATTTAATTTTGTCACCTGCTTTGCCTAGCTTCCGAGTTACAACTTGTTTTCATAGACGATTCTGTCAAAATCACTTGGTGTCGCTAGGCCTTTTTTGTTCGAGCTAGATGCTAGTGATAGTGAAAACGATGATCAGCCTCGCTAATCACGGTTACGGTTAATTTCTTCAACCTAAACTGTGCAACATTAGGAAGGGTTTATGCCCATCAGATGCCGTTATTTGAAAATATCTCCGGTAGTTCTTGTCTGATTGTAATAAAGTATCAAAGCTGTGTGGGCTTTTTCAGGTTTTCTAATGCCTGGATGGTATAATGCATTTCTGTGTTTTTTTTACCTCGATATTTAATCATGTCATGTAAAATATGAAGTCTATTATATATATTAAAAATTGACATTTGATTTATTTGAATCCGTAAACTAAACAACCCCACTTTGCCATTGCTAGAAGAATCTGAAAATTTACTTAGGTAAATAGGTACATACAGTTTTAGCACATAACAAATGCTTATATGTATTTCTTATGCAAGAATGAAATTCTGTTCGTATTCTCAAAACAGTGTCGGCCAATAAGTTTTTACACGCAATTACAATTGCAGGCAATACAGCAATTAATATTCCCTTGTTGTAACCCGTGTTAGGTGATATACACCTACACATGTTATTTGTCATCATTCACTTGCTGGTCAGTTAATGAATTTATAACAGGTATTATTAGTGATAACACCACTTAGATTACCTGACAAAGGTTCCCATTTGGCATTTCTTGTGTCTGGAGTAAATACTCAACATTATAGATAAAGGTCTGATGTGGAAAATGTATTACATGTTATGTAATATGTGCATGGAAGTGCAGCGAGAAGAATTATCAGCTGAGTTAAAAAACAAACATCGATCAAAGGATTTACTGATAACACGCTGATTGATTACTTACTTTTATCTTGCACAACGGATTTGTCAAAAGGTAGTGTTTATGTATGTAGATTTACTAATCTATACTGAATACACTCTGTCGTAAAGTGTCTGTGTGAAAACAACTTCCTTCCTTCAAAGGATTAACTCATTAAGGCCGAGAGCCGCATATATGGGGCAAATGAATCAGCTCCTCACAGCGAGTGACGTGTTTATGGGGCAGGTAATTGGCAGTTTCTCACAGCGAGAGCCACATATATTCATCAACAGAAAGCACCTCTTATTCAGCGAGAGACGCACATGTGTGTTGTACTTTTAAAAATCGCACTGTACCTATTATTTCAACCAATTTAGTAGTACTGAGCAAATATTAGCTTTTCTTACGAGAGATGCTACCTTTAGTGTCAATCAGAAGAAGTATTTAAAGTGTTTTGATAGCAATTGCTAATCATTATCATAGGCTTGTACAGCATTTGGCAAATGAACACATGTGGGCGAGAAAGGGGATTATGATGTTTTTACAGAGGTAAGTGTCCAGTACGCTTCATTGGGAATGGATACTGAAATAGTTCGTATGCACATTGATTGAATTAGATGTAATGGTTTAGAGGTTACTGAAGATTATAGTTTCTTCAACTTCCTAATAAATAGGAAACAATATGAAATTTCAAGGACATACAAAGAATTCAAACACAATAGAATAGTTTGAATTTACTTTTTTAGGTATTATTACATTGTCATGTTTCATATAATGAAACATAATGTATAAACACAAATAATTATACATCCAAGCTCGAATAGATTAGACATAATTTAACTTACTAATTTGAAGCTTACTGAATTGTAATTAGTTATTTTCCATAATCTAAAGTTGATAATGTTACCTAATCAAATATAAAGTGATAAGTCGCGCCTTTGCATCAAATATATATACATGTCAGTGTTATTACAACAATGAAATCTTTTACTAGGTTTGTTACAAAAAACAGTAAGTTGGTAATTCAAAAAATTCTCAAACATAGACAGAAGTAATATCATAAGTTATTACATGTAAGCCATACAAAGGTATTTCAAGTATTTTTGTTCAAGATGTTGAAAGTTGCATGTTGATTTGAATTGTCAGTTTTCTATGCAATTTACATGAGCATTGTGTAAAACATTTGTATTTGATCTCTGTAATTATCAAATCCGGTGTAATTATCACGTGTATCAATGAACTGAGTCTCTATTGATCCATCGTCAATAAAAGCTGGATAGTATATCAACTACGGTATCGATACACATGCGTATAATCATTCAATCAGATTACTGTAATGAGATAATTGAACACCTCTTTCTACCTCGAAATAACAGCCTCCGGTAGAATGCATATGTAGTTACGTCCTGGTTGAAAGGTTTGTCCCGTGACAAGTGTAAAATAAACAGATGCTCTGTTATATGATTGGACAACTTGCTTTATGGAGTCAAGCCCCTCCCTGTAATGTTTATGCATGCATGCACATCTGTAATCTAATGAACCTCGTTTGCATTCAGTATAAATATAGGCACGCTTACCTTCATAATTGTATATATATATATATATTGTTATTTTATTTGGGGGTTAGGTTAGTGTCAACTGCAAGTTTATACACTATAATAATTCAGTATAGTGCCACTTCATGAATTCTGTAATACGTGTACTTTAGTTTGGATATTCATTCATATCAAGGTGAAGATTATATTTACATGTACAGCAAACCATTATGTTTTATGTACTAGTTCTGTGCGTAAAATGTATATGCAAATAAATACTATCTCTACTCTGGTTGGATTTCAATCCCTTTGTTTTACTTATCGAAAAACACTAAGATGAGGACAAATAAACTCGCCAAAGTGTCTATCTACTCCTATTTGTCTTATGTGTATATTTCATACATCGTTACCAGTGTGTATGTTTGCAAGACACAAACTGTTACATGACAGCTTGAGTTGATAAAGCCGAAACCCAGCATGTCGACTGGTCAACAATATAACCAATAATCTATCCGAGCTGTTGAGTGACCAAATGTGCTCTTCAGAAATTTCGCTCATGCCCCATCACCTGTCCTTTCCTCTGTGACAGGTATCCCATGATACGATTGGTCACAAATAACATATGACCAGCCACTATATTGAACAGTTGAGATACCGAACGTTCTATTTGGGAAATTTGATGACGCCGTATCACGTGACTCTTTGTTTTATGTCTATGCAAGGAATATGTAGTATCCATTTTTTATATGTATGTTTGTATGGTCACGTATGTTTTCTGCATTAAATCTAGATGAAACAAAGTGCCAAGCTATGAATGTGCTCTATGTTAGTCACAGACTAGCGTAATAGTACTTTCACTAAAATAGTTTGTATACACTAGAAATGTATCGGCAAAAAGAGGGAACAATTACAAGTATTGTTAGTAATTGTTAGAAAACTTACCTCTGGATTATGGTTGCCTTATTTCTGGGGTTACTATCATGGAATAATAATTCATACAAAATTCATTATTCATTATTACCACTACAAGCAATATATTAGGATTCAGATATTAGGAAAATATAAATATAGAATATTAGTAATAGCTTAGAGAAAGACTCCAGTCAAAAGTTGTAAAACTCATCTCACAGACATACTATTGAAAAAAGGTATAAATTACGGCTACACAATTTCACAGATATCCAAGATAAAATCCTAGCCTAAGGTATTGAGGACTCAAGCTGTTAGCAACCCTTTCAGTAATTCAGAGTTATGACCAGACGATTAAATGCATCTATTGTAATCCAAGCACCTGTAATTGACACATCAGATTAGGCTCATTGAGATCTAGCCCAGGGTAAGCATCCAAGCACCCAGTAAAAGTGCCATCGAGATTAGTGCCAGTTAAACTAGGATTAACAAGGATTAAGAGTGATTGTCCTGTCTGGTCATTGAAGGACCCACCCCATTTAGTATATTCTGTATTTGATAGGCTAATGTAGGTTACACCCAATTTTTGTATCAGTCAACCAATCATAATCTCTTTATTGTTTTAATTGTAGATAAAATGTCTCTATCTTCATTTGTCGATGAGTAGGGTTTAGACTCCCAACACAGGTCAGCTTTAGCCCTCAGCCCAGAGGGTTGTACCGACTCTCTGTGGCCACCCCATGTTACTCCGTTCTTGTAAATAAAAGTGTGATTAGCTTCTTGTGACTTCGGACTCTTTTGCTGAGTTAATTCCCCCAAGCAGACCAGCACGCCAGTTAGATAAGGTGTTTCACCGGAACAATCACTTGGACCCCAGACCCTTATCATAATAGTTGGCGGAGAATCAACGATTTTCGGAACCTCGGAGCCCAGGAACTAACTACAACCAGCTACAAGAACACATGGAATAACAAGCGACTGCATCCACGTCTGATCTCAACACTGGATTAAGGACCACCAACTCCTGTAAAGACACCAACCAAGGAAGAAAAAGTCTTCAAAAATTGTAAGTACTACTTTACATTGTTGATTTCTTGTCTTTCTTAATTATAGTACGGTACATACTATAAGGTGTCATGGCCAATATGGAGTCTGGTATGGAAAGAAACTGTGGAAGTGAAATTCCAACTGTGTCCTTAGTTACCCCCCTTGCCAAAAGTGTAATTCAGGTAACATTTGGCACTGAAACAACAACTTGTTTAATAGATACAGGGGCATCCATTTGCTGCATTTCGGTCTGCTTTTTCTAAACAAAGCTTTCAACAACCCTGTACTTGGAAACTCACCCTTTCCACAAATTCAAGGTGTTGGCGCGAATTGCACAAGGTGTTGGGTTCAGTTGTGTTAGATTTTGTCATTGAAGATCAAGAATTTTTCACAAAAATTCTATGTCCTGCCCTCATTACCTAAGTCAGTCCTACTAGGTGAGAACTTCCTCAATGACAACGATGCAGTCTTAGATTATAGCTGCCATTCCCTCATAATAGGTAACAGCACCTCAGATAGGCAGTATATCAATTTCATTGCCAATCCAGATCAAGAAATTTGTGGATTAGCAAAAACAATAGATCAGATATATATTCCCCCTCAGAGTGAAATTCATTTCAAGGTAAGACTGCCTGAGGCAAACAATGATTCCTTCATCCTCATTGAACCAATTGCCTCCCTCACTGCTCATTCTGAAGTAGCAGGTGGTAGGACCCTCTCAAAAGTGCATAAGAAAACTGCTACATTTGAGGCTTATGAATCCTTCCCAAGAAGAAAAGTTTTAGATAAGGGTACAGTTGTAGGAAAATTTAGTTACATTGACAGCCACTCTATCTTTGAAATTGACTATGACCAACCTTTAATAAATTCAGTTAACACTGACATTAGGACAACAGACAATGACACTAGGGATTACGTCAAAATTGCTCAAGACTTAGGATTTGACTTGACCAAGACACAACTGACGTCAGGCCAACAACAAAGACTACTCAGGTTTTTAGGACAAAACAGAGACATGTTTTCCACAAGCCTTTCAGATTTAGGGAAAACTGACATGCACGAAACATGTCATTGACACGGGCAACCATCCCCCTGTTAAGTGTAGGCCTTATCGTCAATCTCCGCATCTCCAAAAAGTCACTGAAGAACTTGTAGAAGATTTTCTCAAATATGATTTAATTGAGGAGTCAACTTCAATGTATTCAGCCCCGATCATCTTAGTTAAGAAACGTGACGGATCATATAGATTTGTTTGTGACTACAGAAAATTAAATTCTGTCACATTACCCATGTCATGGCCACTCCCTGTTTTTGACGATGTTGTTGATCACATCGGCAATAGCCAACTACAATTTTTTTCCACGTTAGATCTTGCCAATGGCTTCTTCCAAGTGCCATTACACGAAGACTCAAAGCATAAAACTGCTTTTGTCACCCATCAAGGCCTTTATCAATTCAAACGTTTGCCCCAGGGTTTGTCTAATTCTCCACTTTGTTTTCAGCAACTCATGAGCAAAGTGCTAAGAAAATTGCTTTTCAAAGTTGCGTTGATTTACATTGATGATTTGATAATCTACAGCAAAACTTTGAAGAACATCTCAACATTTGGAGCAAGTCTTCTACTATCTCAAACTGGCAAAATTAACACTGAAGCCATCAAAATGCAATTTTGCAACAGACAAGGTTTCATTTCTTGGTCATGTTTTATCATGTGGAGGTGTTCAAGTTGATGACAAAAAGGTCGAAGCAATAAAAACCTTCCCAATACCTAAATCACAAAAACAGATTCGCTCATTTTTAGGCCTCACAAACTTTTACAGAAAGTATGTGAAAGATTATGCGAAAATAGCAGTGCCATTGAATGCATTGTTAAAAAAGCATTCAGAGGCAGAAACTGGTAAGAAACCAAATTTCAGTGGTCACTTGAGTGTGATCAGGCTTTCAACACACTCTCAAAGATGCTATGTAACACACCTGTTCTGGCTTATCCAGACTTTGACAAAGAATTTTTTCTCGCAACTGATGCCAGCGATATGAGCATAGGGTTTGTCTTGAGTCAAAAAGATGAGAAGGATAATGAACATCCTATAGCTTTTGGAGGCAGAGCTCTTCACGGCAGCGAGAAGAATTGGAGCATTACAGAAAAAGAAGGTTTAGCTTTAGTTGAAGCCATTAGATCATTTCGTCCATACCTTGCAAATTCCAAATTCACTGTCTACACAGACCACATCGCCTTAAAATGGCTCAAATCCATCAAGGATGCCACAGGTAGGTTAGGCCGATGGTCTTTAGAACTGTCTACCTACACCTTTGATATTGTTCATCGCAGCGGCAAAGCCAACGGGAATGCCGATGCTCTCTCACGCAGGGAATATGAGCAAAATATTAACTGTCAAAGTCAAACAGAGGAAGATGCTGAGAAAACCGTCTTCACAGTAACTTCACTTGAGCAAAGAAGCCATACCAACATTTCAGCAAGCACGCAATTATCCTCACAGGTCACCCAATCAACTCAGACTGAGGATGATTGCATCCCAAGTATTAATCACTTAGATAGTGAATCACAGACAACTCATTTGTCTGTCACCTTTGAATATGAAGAGGACTACCAAACAGTACCAGCAAACGTTGTTGCAGCATTACAAGCTACAAGTGACGATGTCACACAAGCCACAATGGTTGAGGTAAATATTAATGCACATCCCAACTTACGTCATCTACAAAGAATTTGTCCAGATTTTACCAAAATTTTTGACTACAAAGAAGATGATGTCCTTCCAGAAAATGAAAAGGACCGCCAAAAGATCCTTATTGAAGCAGGCAGCTTTGAAATAGATGAAGGAATCCTATACAGATTTGTTCCACAGAGACAGAAGGGTCATGCGGACAAATTCATTAAACAGCTGGCAGTTCCAAGAACTCTGAGGAACCAGGTCCTGAGATCCTACCACGATTCCGAGTTTGGCGGTTGTCACCATGGAAAAGAGAGGATGCACAACACCATGAGACCAAAATACTACTGGCCAAAGATGTACACCGAAATTGCAGCGTGTAAATGTCCAGACATGTGAAGTGTGTCAACAGACCAAGAGGCATTACCACAGCAAGAAGGCACCCCTACGTCCACTACCTGTGGAAGAGGTCTTCACCAGGTGGCATGTTGACATCCTTGGTCCCTTGCCAACAACACCAGACAAGTACAAGCACATTTTGGTCATCACCGATGCAGCATCTAGATGGTGTGAAACTTTTCCCCTGAGAACCCAAGAAGCCACAGAGGTAGCAGATGTTCTCGTGAGAGAAATATTTTGTCGGTATGGCTCCAAGGGACCTTAATTTCAGACAGAGGTCAGAACTTCATGTCAAAATTAATCAAGGCTATTTGTGAACTTTTGGCTATCAAATTCACTCATACCAGCCCATACCATCCCCAAACAAATAGCTGTGTAGAAAGGCTCAATTCCTACATCAATCAATCACTAAGAGCCTATTGTAACAAAACTCAAAATGATTGGCCCGGTTTCTTCCAGGCATCATGATGGCCTATCGGATGGCTCCAAATTCATCAACTCAAAAGTCCCTTTTGTTATGCTATTCGGCCGAGAAATAGAGAGCTCCACAAGATGTTTCATTAATTCCAAAGGAAAATTTAGGCCACAACAACAAAAGCTATCTTTCAAATTTGCTTGAGGAGCTAGAAATTACAAGGACTATTGCAGCTGAAAACACTGCTCGAGCAAAGGAGGTGTATTCTGAGCAATACAATCGTGAAGGCTAAAGAGCCAGATTTCTCCCCAGGTCAAAGAGTTTGGCTATATTGTCAAAAAGTAGAAAAAGGCCTCTGCAACAAGTTAACCAAAAGTGGTATGGCAGTTATTACATTGTTCATTTAGGTCCAAATTTCACCTACAAACTACGCCCGGCTCTGACGACAAAGTGCACAAACCATTGGTCCATGCCAACCGTCTGAAGCCATATTTCGATCCAGCTGATCGGTCCACAGTATCCACCAGAACCATACCTCAACAACAGCAACAATATGGATTCAGACGTCATAGATGACAATGAGGAACCAATGAGCGATCCACAACTTGACAGCAACAATGCAGAGTCAACAAGTTCAACCCAGGATCAATCACCTAAAGGTAAGGAAGTCAATTCAAAAACTAAGGCAGGAAATCCAAGGAATCCTAATCAAGAGAAGAAAGGAATTCAGGAAAGCTCAGCAGGACCAAGTACAACTGTTCCAAACCAGAAACAGAGCCCCCCAGGTCCAAGTAACCCAACCAAGAAGAAAGGAAATACAAACAAGGGAAAAAGAGGACTAAACAGCAAACATCATCAGCCAAAGTCAAGGCCACAATCAGGATCAAGTCAGGTTCAACAACCAGCACAACAACCAGCGTCAAGCAATGACGCCAAGGTTTTCAATCCTGATGACATTCACTCAATTCTTGCTTCCAAGAGAGCAAACAACAAAATATACTACAGGGTGAAATGGACAGATCCAGAAAGAGGAAACACATGGGAATATGGCAGCACCATTCCGGACTCAATTCGAAGAGAATTTCATGTCAAGAAAAATATGTCGGGAAAACGACGAAAACGGCCACTGAAAAATCACAAATTCTTTAACCAAAGAGAGTCAGCACAAGACAATCAATCAGTCAATGTGCTGTCAAAGAATTTCAAACAGCAATCGACCACTACGGAACCAGAATTAGACGTCGAACCATATCCAATGGTACCAAGGCACCTACGAGAATTCGATAAAGACGTAAAAAGAATTGTGGGCATAGAAATAGTTCAAGGAGACTGCTATGTCAAGGTCTTGTATAGCTACGACAAAAATGATCCTCGTATCCGAACAACTTATTTTGAAACTGTTCCTCCCCAACTCATACAAGAGTACATCAATGACAGCTGGAATGATCTCTGTAAGTGGTTCGAAACTAACGACCCTGGAGATGAGATTGATCCAGATGTATATCCAATCTATGAATCCAGACGTACAACATTACCTAATGGCATGTACACATTTGAATACTGTGTATCACACGAATGTCACAGACCCATGGTACCATATCAATATTCACTCCCGATATTTACCTGTGGTCGCCAGATAGCCATATACCTGCAAAAGGTACAAGGTCTCCTCAATAAACTGCACTGTTAAGCTCTAGGTAGGTAATTTTGTGTCAAGTCATTTCACATTGTGTTACCTGATGACACTAGTTGTGAA